TTTGAATAAAGGCATTGTGGGCACATAATTCTAAATTAAATAAATGCATATCTATAATTTTTTTTTGTAGCTACTAAATTATTATTTATATAATATAATTTAATAAGAGTAAAATAGAGTACTAATTATGCCAATTTTGATTGGGATGAGGTTCGAACCTAAGACCTTTTTTTTTTTTTTTAATTGAAATCAATGACTAAGTTAACGGTGAACTAACGTCAATTCTTAAAATTTTAACGGAATTAGTAACGGTGTGTGGGTATTTTAGGAAAGTTTAGTGTAAAATTTAAATCTTATCAATCTTTTAATCAATCTGAGCCATTCATTTAATTAAAATCTGTGACCGCCATTTTTTCTACCCATTATAGGCCTAACTCTCTTGGGCTCTTATTAGTATAGTAGATATATTAAAAAGATTTGAAATGTAAGCCTATTTAAATAGACTCAAAAGCCTATTTAAATAGGCTCGAAGCCTATGAAAGATCTACTTTGAAGCTTTTTTTTAAAGTCTATTTATTAAATAGGCTTTTAAAAAGTCTTCAAGCCAGGCCAGGCCAACTGCAGGCTCATGCTTGAGCTTAAAAAAAAGCCTACATACAGGCCCAGGCTTAGGCTTTTAATTTTCATAACAGGCCCCGGCCTAATTTTCTAAAGCCTGGCTCGGCCTGACCTATTTCCACCCCTAGTCACCATGGCCATTCCGTTCCCCAAGTGGGGGATTAACTTGCTTGGACCACTTCCCTCGGCCCCCGGACGAATGAAAAAAAGTGAAAAAAAAACATGGAGCACTCGATTGCAATTTCGATAACTATAAAGAGAAGATTCCAACAAATATTTATACTTCCCTTGGCCCCCGGACGGGTGGGATTTTGCAAAGCTGTCGTGGACTACTTCAATAAGTGGGCAGAAGTCGAGCCCTTGGCTACTATTACCAAGTTCTAGTTCCGCCGATTTATTTGGAAGACCATATCTATGTCGTGGACTACTTCACAAAGTGGGCAGAAGTCGAGCCCTTGGCTACTATTACCAAGTTCTAGTTCCGCCGATTTATTTGGAAGACCATATCTAGGTTTGGACTGCCCGAGCAGTTGGTCACGGACAATGGCAGACAATTCGACAACTGGGCTTTCGTCGCCTTTTGCGTGCAGAATGGCATCCGACACATCAAGGTAGTCGTGGCCTACCCCCAAGTGAACAGCCAAATTGAAAACCTAAACCACCTTACTGGATGGGTTGCGAAAGAAATTAGAAGAGTTGTGTGGTACATGGGTCGAACAGTTAGAGAAGGTGTTGGAACACCCAAGGGCGGAGGGAAGTGTATGCTTTGGGGGGCCTTGGCCCCCCTCCCCCACCCCAATTATTTTTTAATACTATATATGTATTAGTTTTTTAAAACAATATTATATATAATTTTAAAATTTTATTGTTCCTTTCAAATATTTGGCCCCCCTCCCACTTAAATTTTCTTATAGGTTAAGTTATAAACTTCTTCATCTTCTCAACTTCTCCAGTTCTCTTCCATTTCAAATTATGTCTTCCCTATGTTGTTGATCACAATCAAATTAAACATCATTTAACCTACCAACTAGTTTCTCTCTCTCTCTCTCTCTCTCTCTCTCTCTCTCTCTCTCTCTCTCTATATATATATATATATATATATATATATATATATATATATATATATATATATATATAACCCAGTAGGGTAGCTCAAGTAGGAAATGAGCTCTCTTTGTGAGGGAGTATTCTGGGATACCCTGGGTTTGATTCTCTTAAGTGACGATTCCCTTTGGGCCAACTTTCCTGCTTCTCGGAGCAACCACATACAATTGTGTAGTATATGTATTTGATAAAACAATTGCTATTATGTTGTGAAGAGAGTTTTTCAAGAAATAATTAATAGTCTTTTAAAAATATTGTGAATGTTTTCATTCTTTTAACCGCACAAAGAAATGAAAAGCATATTGCAAAATAATTTAATATAGATTCAATTATAAATGATTTATTCTAAACTTTACTAAATTTGTGATGTAATGATTATTTTGAAATATGTTAATTGGATATCAATGTATATGATTTAGTACTTAAACCGTAGTTGCCCCCCGCACTATTCAATCCTGCCTCCGCCCCTGGTAACATCCCATGTTACTGCCTCCGTATCCGGGCTAATCGTGGAATTAAATCCATAAACATATAATTAAAAAAGATTTAATTAGACTAGAATTCCCATTAATTAATTAGTATGGTCCACAATGGATCATGGACCCTTATCCATAACCAAGTCTTTAATTCTATTAGGAATAGGAAAAGTGGGCCTTTACTATTCAGACTCTAGTTCGGCCTCCTGAATCTATATATAGGGGAATAGAAAGCATTTAGAAACCCTACCACAATTAATTATACCACGCGAGATATTCCCCGAAGAAACCTAGCAAAGGAATTCCCCACCACCGAACCTAGAGGAATCCAATGGAGGGAGATCTTAGAGAAGAACCTTAGTAGCCAAGGATATTGATTAGGGTAAGAGGTAACCCGTGTCTTACAAAACCTATTTTCCTTGCTATATCATTGGCTCCTTTGATAATTGTGTGGATGATTCTGTGATTGAGTCTTGATAGAGCCCTGCCTAGAATTTATATTGTGCCTATTTGATAATCTTGGTGATCTTGATGTTGTGATTGATTATATGTGTAATCTTGTATTTAATTATGTATAGAGCTTGTCCCTAGGGTTTATATCGTGAATTTCGTGTTATGATATTCTTGGCATTATTGGGTGGGTTTATGCATGATTGGGTGTTAAGTTTAACCTAGGACTTGTCTTTAGAATTTTGAATATAGATTTCTTGAGGTTCAGGAGCGGATTTCTTGATGTTCTTGAGGTTCCAAATGCTCTTGAACCGTTATGTGATTGATGTCGAGTCTTGACATGTTTAGGAATCGTGTTAGAACATATTTGGAATGATTCTTGGTTTAATCTTCGTTATTGAATCCGTGATGTTGTTGTTGCGTGTTAGGATGTGTTTAGACATGGTTTTGGGTTCCACAAACGAACCCCGGACTAAGATTTTCACCTTCGTACCAGTGGGGGGACGAATCCCAACCACCTTCCCGCTGCCCGGCGTGCCCAATTCCAGCGGGCAGCCGGCGGGTGGTCTTGTAACACCCTCGATTTTACCACAACTTTTAAAACTTAAATTCAAACGATAAACAACTATTCATCAAGCAAACAAAAACGGAAGCTAAATAAAAATCGGGAAGTGTTATGCCACACCCATAAACCATGGGTGCACAGGCTAAGTCTACAACTATCCATGTAACACCCCCATTTTCATAATCAAATAAATTCACTAATTACATAGCGGAAGCATTAACTAACCAAAAGAAATGGGTGTTACCGCCACGCTCAGGTATCTCTCTTATACCCAAACGCTAAGGCTATTAATACAACTTAAATTGAATAATCCAAATTCAACTTAATACATAAACTGCAAATAACATTACAATCATTTACTCTCAAAATATCAAATCTCCAATGAGCCAATTTAATTCCTGCTCAACTTGAATTCATCTCAAATTCCTTTATCCATGTTCACCTGTAAAAATAATTTTGACACAAAAATAGAGAGTAGACAAAAATTAGCATAAGCTAAGTAAGTTCCACTTCACCCGTAAAATAATGGCTTGGATTTTATATTTTCAAATCTCATATAATTTTATACTTTTCCGAAATAGATGTAGAGTTATACTCTTCCTTGTACAGAGAATTAATATTTATAAATGGAGAATTAACAAACCACATCGAAATCCACTTAGAATCTGGACTAAAACCTATGTGCACACCCCCAGGGGATTCCAAGCCACTGGGTAGTATATGATCCAAGTAGTCAGGTTTTCCTGCCTGCTACCACACAAACAATGGAAACTGGATCATAACCTATGTGTTACACCCTCATGGGATTCCAAGCCCATTGAGTAGTAATTAGTCCCCGTGAACAGTGCTCACACTGAACACTCACAATTTAATGATTTCTCCAAAATCATATTATTTCTCCACAGATAAACACTTTCCCCAAAAAAATACAATTTTCTCCAGAATATATAATTTCTCAAAAACATAATTTTTAATCCACAATAAGGATGTAATGCAAATTTCACCATATGTAACACTAAAAATTCCAAGCCGCAGATTTACACAACACGCGGGTTCGACACGTCGAAACCCATTCTCGATATTTCGAGAATCACCACACAATAGTACCATTTATCGATAAATGCACTCGTGTCCACATTAATAGCATATATCATATAATAACAATACATATAATACTCGGGGAAAATAATAGTTTTAGCGAACATGAAGTCTTACCTCGAAGCTAAATTTCCTATCAAAACATAATAGCATTCTAATCACCATGATAAGGAACCTGCGGATCAATCACCCTAACAATATTATTATAATTATTACTGTTTTTATTATCAATATTAATCTTATACAACTTGGCCAAATCATTCTTGACAAAGTAACAATGTGCTAGTCTAGTCCATGTGTAGATATTAAAAGGGCAAAGTTGTCTTTTCCTTTATTTTTCTGTTATTACTGTGGACCGTTATTACTGTGGACCATGGACTACCATGGACTCCTTTAAGAAGGCAGTCATCATCTTCTGATTGCTTCTTAATGTTTTTCCCTCTTCAATCAATAATGAGAGACTTCAGTTTCCTTCTTAGCTCAACATAGCATGTACTCCACTTTCCATCATGGTATCAGAGCGACGCCATAACTACGTCACCGTAGTGATCGGAAGTAATGAAGCTGACGGAGAAGCTTCCACCGGACAGATTCTGAATCCAGCGAATCAAATTCCAGTTAGCCAAATTCCAGTTCAGCGGAGTGATGAATTCGATGATCCATTGTATCTGTACATCACTGAGAATCCGAATCTGATTCTCGTGTCGCCTCCCCTATCTGAGCACAATTATGCTTGATGGAGTAGGTCTATGAAGATAGCCCTAGAAGTTAAGAACAAGTTTGGCTTTGCAGTTGGATCAATTCCAGATCCAGGCGAAGCTGATCCGAGACATCCTGTATGGAGAAGGTGCAACACCATTGTCTGCTCGTGGCTACTGAAATTCATAAGTTCGAACATCACTGAAACTGTGATGTATTAGGAAGTAGCTGCTGACATTTGGAAAGCTCTCAAGAGGAGATACTCGCAAGCTGATCCTCATAGGATTGCAGAATTACAGAATCAAATCTATAGGAATGCACAAGGTAACTTGTCTGTTAATGAATATTTTACAAAGTGTAGTGCCTTGTGGGAAAAATTGAATGCTATGAGACCTCTGTTGGTGTGTGAATGCTCCCTTAGATGCACTTGTAATCTCCTGAGTAAAATGCAGAAAGAGAGAGCAGATGACCAGGTCATCAGGTTTTTAGATGGTCTTAGTGATGATTTTGAGACTATAAAGTCAGGTGTACTGCTTATGGATCCCATTCCAGATATGGAAAAGGTCCTTAATATGGCTTTGAAGCTTGAGAGGAAGCTCAATGGATCCATTATTCAGAAGAACAATGACTTGGTCCAGTCTAATGCTCTTCAGAATAGTCAGACTCAAGTCTCAGATGAACAGGTTTTTGTGGCAGCCACAGAAGCAAATAATAAGAAAAAATTCAACAGTGGTGGAGGAAGAAATGTACCTAAGTGCACGTATTGTGGTATGAATGGGCATACTATTGAGAAATGTTACAAAAAACATGGATATCCTCCTGGATGGATAACCGGTTATAAAGCTAGAAACAGACAAAGTCAAGAAGCTCAGCAATCTGCAAACTCTTTCATAAGCCAAGGTGCTGATTTAGGTTTGACAGCTGATCAATTTCAAAGGTTGATGAATTTTGTGCAAAACCAGAATCAGGGAATTCAAGCTTCAACTAGCTCTGCTGTAAAAGTGAATAGCTCAGGGATGAAGTCTGCTCCTAAGAATCCTCCTGATGATTCTTGTGAAGGTAGTTCTGTTCCCAATTTATTTGTTAATAATGCTGTTTCTCCTAGCTTTTGGATTGTTGGCTCAGGGGCCACAAATCACATCATCTGTTCCCAAGAGTATTTTGAGAAATATGAACCAGTGCATGCAGTTTTTGTGAAGTTACCCAATGGGGAAACTGTAAATGTCAGTCATATTGGGGAAATCAGGTTGCATCAGGGTATATTGCTAACAAAGGTTCTGTGTATCCCCTCATTTACTTTCAACATCATTTCTGCTAGCAAATTGACAAAAGAAACACCATGTAAACTCATAATGGATGCTAATTCATGCAATATTCAGGGTCTCCATGGGACAGTGTGTGGTTTTGCTAGAGAAAGGAATGGACTCTACCTTATGACTGACCCCCCAATCAGAAGAAAGCTCCATTGTGCAAATAAGAATGTTGATATTCACTGTAGTGCCCTATCCTTATAATTGTGACACAATAGGTTAGGTCACTACCCTATAAATAAAGTACATCTCCTAGATGGAATAAAGCATGACCAACTTTCCAAACCATGTAATTCTGCTTGTGATGCTTGTCATTTTGCCAAACACAAGAGATCAGTTTTCCCTATTAGTCATTCTAGGGTTGATAGATGTTTTGACCTGGTTCACATAGATGTTTGGGGACCTTTTGCAGTAGCTTCTCTAAAAGGAGAACAATATTTTTTTTACAATTGTTGATGATTGTAGTAGGTTTACATGGTTGCACTTGATGAGAAATAAATCAGAAGTTGGAATGTTGTTTCAGAATTTTTATCACTATGTTTCTACTCAATTTTCCACAAATATTAAAGCTGTGAGAACAGATAATGGAAGAGAATTCTTCATGGAAGCTTTTTGTAATGAAAAGGGAATCATCCATCAAAAGTCATGTGCATATACACCCCAGCAAAATGGGGTTGTAGAAAGAAAACACCAACATATCCTGAATGTGGCTAGAGCCATCAGGTTTCATTCAGGTCTTCCTATGGATTTTTAGGGACATTGTGTCCTCCATGCTTGCTATCTAATCAACAGATTACCAACCCCTGTACTAAGTGGAAAAACCCCCTTTGAGACACTATTTGGCAAGAGTGTGCAGTATGATCACCTAAAGGTGTTTGGTTGTTTGTGCTATGCTGCTACTACATCTCAAGGAAGGAATAAGATGCAGACAAGGGCTAGAAAGTGAGTTTTTCTAGGGATTCCTGTCAATGTTAAAGGTTATTTGCTATATGATATTTCTAATCAGGATGTGTTTGTCTCCAGGGATGTCCACTTTTATGAGCATATATATCCCTTTCAGGAAGGGAAAGATAGCTCAGAAATAGATGAAGGCATGCAAGCAATTGGGGAGACTGATTTTCCACTGATTCCTTCATCAGTTAACATAAGGCACACACCTTCTACAGACATAGAAAGGGGTGATGTGATTGGCATAAATGAAGATACCACCATCACCTTTGATGACAGTTCAGAAAGGAGTATTCCAACAAACAATGATGTAATTCCTGAGGACTACACACCTGAAATAAGCAATGAAGCAGTTGACAACCAAATGCAGTATAGAAGATCAGAAAGAGTAAGGCATATCCCCATTAAATTACATGACTATTACTGCCATACCATGTCAAAAAACACAAATTCTGCTAGAACTTCTCCATATCCCATAGACAAGTTCATTTCTTATGAAGGCCTTACTTACAATAACAGACTTTGTGCATCATCTATTCTTTCCACTTTTGAGCCTCAGTCCTACAGTGAAGCAGTCAAACATGATACTTGGAGAAGAGCTATAGACTGAGATAGATGCCTTGATTGAGAATAAGACATGGTTTTTAACCGAGTTGCCCCCAGGGAAGATTCCAATTGGTTGTAGATGGGTTTTTAAAGTCAAGCACAAGGCAGATGGGTCTATTGAAAGATACAAAGCTAGATTGGTTGCTAAAGGTTATACACAGCAGTTGGGAGTGGATTATGTTGAAACATTCTCCCCTGTGGCTAGGATGACCACTATTAGAACCTTTTTAGCTGTGGCCATTACAATGGGATGGGACATCCAACAGCTAGATATCAACAATGCATTCTTGCATGGAGATCTAGAAGAAGAAGTCTACATGACTTTGCCTCCTGGCCTTCAAACCAATAATCCTAGGATGGTATGCAGGCTGCTTAGATCCCTATATGGTTTAAAGCAAGCAAGCAGGCAATGCAATGCTAAGCTCACTAAGGCATTGATAGACAGTGGTTTTTAGCAGTCCATGGCAGACACTTCTCTGTTTACTAAGGGTTCAAACACTTCTTTTGTTGCATTACTCATTTATGTTGATGATATAGTGGTTGCAGGCCCAAATTCAAAGATGATTGATGATTTAAAACAGTTTCTGGATTCAGCTTTCAGAATAAAAGATCTTGGCCAATTAAATTTCTTCTTGGGGATAGAGGCTCTCAGAACTCCAGATGGTCTTAATCTCTGTCAAAGAAAATACACCTTGGAGATTTTGAAGGAAAATGGCTTCCTAGACTCCAAGCCAGCACAAACACCCATTACTGCAGGGCAAAAGCTAACCAATATAAAAGGCAGATTACTTGATAATCCTGAAATATATAGAAGGCTGGTAGGTAAACTTCTTTACTTAACTAGTACCAGGCCTGATATTGTTTATGCTACTCAACAGTTGAGTCAGTTTGTTGACAAGCCCAGAGACTCACATCTTGTAGCAGCTCATAGGGTATTGAGATACCTCAAAGGTTCTCCTGGTAAAGGGCTATTTTATTTTGCAAAGTCTCTTCTTAAACTGCAGGGTTTTTCAGATTCAGACTGGGCCACTTGTGCAGAATCAAGAAAGTCTATCACTGGGTATTGTGTTTACCTAGGCTAGTCCTTAATCTCCTGAAAAACTAAGAAACAAGCCACAGTTTCCAGGTCCTCATCTGAGGCTGAGTACAGAGCTTTAGCCTCTTCTGTTTGTGAGGTGCAGTGGTTGCTATATTTGCTTGCAGATTAGAAGGTGCATTGTGATAGTCCTTGTCTGTTATATTGTGACAACCAGTCTGCCATAGCAATTGGAGAGAATCATGTTTTTCATGAGCGCACTAAGCATATAGAATTTGATTGTCATGTTGTTAAACAAAAGGTGTGTGAAGGGGTGGTTAAGCTTATGCCTATTGCCTCACATAAACAGGTTGCAGATGGCTTCACTAAAGGATTGCCAAAGCTGAGTTTTGATGCTTTCCATCCTAAGCTGGGCCTTCAAGACGTCCATGCTCCAGCTTACGGGGGGAGGGGGGGTGACAAAGTAACAATGGGCTAGTCTAGTCCATGTATAGATATTAAAAGGGCAAAGTTGTCTTTTCCTTTATTTTTCTGTTATTACTGTGGACCATGGACTCCTTTAAGAAGGCAGTCATCATCTTCTGATTGCTTCTTAATGTTTTTCCCTCTTCAATCAATAATGAGAGACTTCAGTTTCTTTCTTAGCTCAACATAGCATGTACTCCACTTTCCATCAATTCTGATATCCTGAACAACTCCATTAATCATTATCAATCACCATAATCATTATCATCATTATCTTATTATTTCCTAATCATCATCCAACTTATAATTACTATTCTCAATAGTAATATAATAATAATATACCATGAAAGCAGTCGTATTCTTCATCAACCCAACATCACCGACGGAGAATCGTCGTTCGTCACCATCATCATACGGCACCGATCGTTACCTTGCTTCTACCGTCGAAGCATTATCATCTTCTTCATCTTATTTCCTTTAGTATATCATCATCTCCATCTTATCCTTATCATTATATTCAACTCCCATACTAAATTTTGTTTTTCTCCAAAAGAGGATTGAGGCTGTAAATGGGGAGAAAGCAAGAACAAGAAAGGACGGCTGACGAATGGAGTGAACAGAGAGGTGAAATTAGGTTTAGGGTTAATTAAGGTTAACTTTGAGGAATATATATAGTTAGGAATAATATAATAGGATTAGGAATATATTAAATATATATATACTAGTATTGCCGTGTAAACATACACATATATATAGAATTAACATAGGATTAACTTATATATATTTATAATGGATTAGCTTGTACTGTAGAGATGTATATATGTATAATAAATATTGGCTATGGCATATATATAGGATTAGGAACCCACAAGACTTAAGAAATAATAGGAGTTTAGAAAAATATTACGTCAGATTTGGAGTTCAAAGAATAAAATAAAATTAGGGTAACAAGAATAGTGCCCAAAAAATATGGGGTACTACAATCCATCAAAACAAATTCAAGTCTAAGGCACACATGCCATGTCTAACAAAGGCTCACAGGCCCAAAACGAAACAACAAGAAAGGTGGGAACTACACTAGCTACCACAACGACTAGCGCTCTCATCATCTACTCAAGACCTGTAAAACATAGGGATAACACCCGGTCAGCGAATAATGCTGGTAACCCATCAATACGCGTTAAATAACATAGTATGGATAGATATAATCAAAGCCATTTGAAACTGGGGAATATAATATATATCATTTTAAAACCAAGGGAGGAAGTCAACATCAAAGGCTCATCACACTCTCAATAAGAACGAGGATCATCAACCTCACAACAACAGCAAGACCACAAACAACATAGACAATACAACACAAGATGCAACCTACCGTACACAAGGTAGAGTTCATCAAGACATGCTCATAAGCAAGGGAATCATACAATCACATAATGACACATTCATGTTTCACGTTTCATAGTTCCAACCTTATGCCCTGTTCCAACCTTATGGCTACCCACGGCCTTATACCAGTTCCAACCTTTACCACCTAGTGCCACCTTGTACTTCTGAGTCCAACCTTATTCTGCCTGGGACCGTCGTCCCCCACCAATCTTTACCACCAATCAGAACTGTATTACCACCGATCTCAAAGTACACGAGGGTACTGTAAAGTCACAATATTACCACCGATCTCGTGAGCAAAGCTCAATAATATTACCACCAATCTCAATCATAATCACACACAGTCATCATTATCATCAAGAAGATTGAGACTCATCAATAGCCCAATCAAGAATCAACAAAGGGTACAACGACTTGCACAAGATCACATCATACGAATCAATCAAGAGATCACAACAAAGACATGAGACATTACTCAACAACGAAGGATTAATCCAACATCAAATGATTGGCAACACAAGTTGCCAACCCCAATAAGAAGGAACAAACCACACATACTAGTATAACAACATCAAACTAGCATGCTCAACAAGTGGGTAAACCAAAATGGTCCAAACGAACCTTTAAGACTCATATTAGCCCAACGAATCAAAAATTTGGACACTTAGCACGATTCAAGACACCAAATCCTAACATGGATTCCTAACACATCGTTCTAGACATAAGAAACATAAAAAAGACTCACAAATAGCCCAATAATCAAGCAACGGGAGGTCAAAACATCAACACCAAGAAGAAAAGAGTCACGGGGAACAAATTCCCACCAGTGGGCCTGCCCGCGGGGTACAATGCCCACAAGCCACGTTCCCCGTGGGTGGGGCGGCGGGTAGGCCACTGCCCGCCGTTCCGCCCGCGGGGTACACTTTGTGTATATCGATTTTCCCTTCAGGGAAATTCATCAACAAAGCCAAGTTCAAGTCCAAAACACCCAAAATCTCACACACAACAAAGAAATGACTTGACCCCAAGAATAAGCCAAGCAATGACATTCAAGAAACCTAAATACAAGCTCTAAACATGCATCATCACAAGATCATGCATTAAATCTCACAAATCACATCAAGAACATCAATAGAAGCCAAGAAATCATCATTTCGGTAAGGAAATATGTTTTGTATAGCATGGGTTACCTTTGTAGCCTAACAACTTCTCCTTTTCACTCTATTAAGCCTTCTCCTAGAGCTCTTCTTCCACACCAACTTCTTACACAAGCCAAAACACAAGAAAGATTCTAACTTAGATAAAGACACCCAAAAGATGGCTAAAAACACCAAAAAGCTAAGAACCTTAGCTTACCCTTTCCTATGCTCAAGAAGAAGAAAGTAGGAATCTTGGTGAAGGATCTTGCAAGGCTTGGAGGTTCACCTTCTTGCTTGAAGAATAAGCTAGGTTATTTTTGAGAGAGGCTAGAGTTTTTGAGACTTAGGCTTGAATGGTGAATGAATGAAATGAAATGTCTTGCTAGGGTAGCTTGAACAACAATTCATGGGTAAAAAACCTCTTTTACCCTTACTAAGGTTGGAAAGACAAGGGGACAAGGGCACAACTCATGAAGCACAAGGTACACTCAATAGATTTAAGTGACTAGTCAAAATCTAGTCCCTCGACTATTAAATTTCAGGATTTTTAGAAATGGATTAGCAAAGAAAGTTTGGATAATTCTTCAATTAATCCTCAATTAGTATTTAAGTTTACGAGGTGTCACAGGTCCTCCACCCGCTGGGAAGTGATGTCCCGGTGTGGTGTTTTTCCCCGTTTAATGTTTCCCTGTGTCCCGTTGTATCCCGTTTGACGTGTATGAGTCTCGTTTGATGCTTTGGATACCGTTCTAGGATTTTATGTGTAGTACGTACCGTTGTTGTTATGTCTTGATTGTTATTGATTGATTATGTGTTGATTGATTGAATGATGATGGGTATCGTGGTCATTGCGCAATGATCGGTGTGACTGATGATGATGAGATTGTGATTGGTGGAAATGAATTGTTGGCGGAAAGCACACCAAGTGCTCGTTTATCGTGCTAAAGGCACGGAGCACCCCTTAGACTTGCTCGTTTATCATGTTAGAGCTATATGCACTAACCCCTTGGTATTGGCACTAGAGGTACGGACCATGCGAATGACACTTCGCTGCTACCATGTTGGTGGACTTGTTGGTGGTTACGGAGTGGGGCATATAGTTGCTCCGGAGGGATAAGGAGGAGGTATAAGGGTGGCATGGAGGTACATGTTGGAACTGAAATAAGGATGGAGTGGAGTGAAAAGGTTGGAACTTGGTATAAGGTTGGAAAATGGATTGTGTGACTTGATGATTACTCGCTAATTGGTTGTCTTGAATTCCATTGTTGTCTCTATTTGCTACTTATGAACTTATTTGTCTGTTATGCTTTGTATCGTATTCTTAGGACGCATGCTAGTCTTTAGGATTGTTCTATAATGTCGAGTCTGTTGTTGAGTCTCGAGTCTTGATCTTGGTTTAAAGCTAGAGTTGCTTAGACTATATATG